TCATGGCGAAATTTATCCGGGCTTTTGTAGCACAATTCAGCTGTCTCCTAGAATCTTTTCCTGGGGGGGGGGGTGTGTGCTGGCATGTAGCTTGTGGTAGCTGTATTTCTCTTTGTCCTTGAGATATGAAACCACTTATTTCATTAAGGTGGAGGGAGTTGTGGAGGACTGCAAGCAAAAGTCTTATGCCTCCTCCCAACCCCACGTTTTGCTTAAAGACCAGTCAGGCTTCTGTGTGAAGGTTTTTTGTTCCGTCTGTCTCTCCTCCAGACCTGCGGCGCCAAGAAGAACAGGGTCAGCTGCTTCAGCCCCTCTGCTTCGTCTCGCTGGTCCTCTGCTCCGTCGTGCTCTACTTCATTGTGTCTCTCATGGATCCCGGCTACGTTGAGCAGGATGCGGAAGAAAAGGTACCTCGCTGGCTGGCGTGAAGACCCGGCTTCCGCACCTGCAGGTCTCCCCCTTCCAAAAGTGGCTTTGCCGAACAGCTAGGCGGCTGCTGGGGTCTTATGATGGTGCCTCTTTGCATGCACCTTTTCCCGCGGTTATTTCCACAGGAGCCAGGGCACTATTGGTGTGCCCCCCGCCCCCCGCTTCACAGAGGCAGTTTTCCTTTTTTACAAAATACACATTTTACATATTCATCCTTTCAGCTATTATTAAAAAATGTGATTTTTTTTTTAAATTTAACGTTGCAGAATGACTCTGGGGGTGAGGATGGAGAAGGGGTTATGTTTACCTGTATAATGGGAGCTTTCAATTTTAATTAACCAGCTTAGGGGCTGCTATTGGAATAACATGGTAGAGCCCTGCTTGGATTGTACCACTTGAGGATGCAGGTGAGAAAATGGCACGCTTGAGCACTCCCTTGAGGAGGAGGCCATCCCTGCGAGCCAAAGGACATCGTGGAGGGAAGGATCAAATATAGCCTTTTCTTCGACATGCTGTGTTGCGCGTGTGTGTGTTTAGCATGTGGAAAGTTTTATCCTAAAGGGAGCATCTAATCATGCCGTGCTCCACCTGCAGCTTGAAGTGGTACAGTCCAGTTCGTATGAGGGGAAATGGCCCCGGATGTGACATTGCATTTAAAGACACACACATCCCTCAATCTAGGATTAATGTTTTCCTTGCGGCACTGTCCTCATTACACCTTTCCTCATTATATCTTTGTCTCCCCATTGCTCTGTCTTGCATGTCTAACTTGATTGTAAGCTCACCAGGGTGGAGACCAGTGTTCCCTCTAAGCTGAGTTAGTGTGAGGTAGCTCACAGTTTTTTAGCCTCTGGCTCACAGATTTTTGTCTTAGCTCAGGAAGGCGGGCTCCAGAGCAAACTAATTTATGCAGCAGCCAAATTGCTCGCTCACAACCTTAATGCCAGTAACTCACAATGTAGAATTTTTGCTCACAAGACTCCACAGCTTAGAGGGAGCATTGGTGGAGATGGCATCACATGGAACACACACACACACAAAGCTTCCGTATACTGAACCAGCCCATCAAGGTCAGTCTCGTCTGCTCAGAGTGGCAGCGGCTTTCCAGGGTCTCAGGCAGAGAAAGGTCTTTCCCATCAGCTACTACCTGCTTCTTTTAGCTGGAGATGCCAGAGGCTGAACCCGGGACTTTCTGCATGCCGAGCAGAGGCTCTGCCATTGAGCGACAGTCCTTCCCATCTGTCCAGCATCATTCTTGGGGCTAAACTGTTTTGTAATAGCCCAAGGGTGGCCAGACTGTGGCTCGGGAGCCATATGCGGCTCTTCCACACATATTGTGAGGCTCCCGCTACAGTGTAAGGGGAAGCAAAGGGGAGGAATGCCTCCCCAATTGGCCTTCCCTTCCCCAGCCAACGCAGAGAAAGAAAGCAACTTGAATTTTAAATGCATTCTCAAAGCACACACCCCCCCCCCAATCAGCCACCTTGGAGAAGGCATTTGTCTCTTTAAAGCCCTTCTCCAAGCCAAGCTAGCCAGCGTGGAGGCGGGGGTGTGTGTTGGAGGATGCATTTAACCTTAAAGTTGCTTTCTTTCCACCCGTCCCCCCTCCCCCATCTATTTGCTTTCTTTCCAC